AATTTCAAGTGAATATTTTTTCTGAAGTGGACCTCTATGAAAGGTTAACTTAAAGACTTGTGGCAGCCAATATACGTTCGCCCGTTTTTTATTTGCACGACTTATACGCTTATATTAGTAGTTGATTACAGTACCTGTAAAAATATCTTGAAGAACACTTCGCTTAATGATCTCACATTTCTGCTTCACCGAACAAATACTTTCTTTGGGAACAGTAGTTGCAAGTTGATATTTCATTAAATTTCATCCAATTACAGGATCAAGTTACTGCATTTTGTTCTGCTTATAATATTTTGCTTTGTCTAAAATACAATTTTCGGTTTGATGCATTCTTCATCAATATTGAGCGTGCATTATGAAAATGAATTCCTTTGTCTTTGTACAAGTACTATTAGTACCCCAACAGATATATTGTTCATGCGAGTCATTGTAATTATAATGAATGTTTTGTCCGGAAATTCTACATTCATGGGTTCTTACGTCATACATGCCTTTTCTCTTCAATGAAATTATGGTCTATCTTTTCTTGTGATTTACACATTTTGTACAACTTGAGAATTCTCCAGAATTTGGTTATCCGCTCAAATGCATTTTCAATAACTAAAAGATTATTTATGTTGTTTACTTTTCATCCTCTCTTTCTGATTGGGTCTCACCACCTTTTTCCTTTTGTACCCTTCAGGAGTGTTATACGGTTCTTCAATGGCAGACCAGTACCAGCATCCCACAATTGTCCAGAAAGTAGCTAATCAGTTGCATCTGAGCTCCAGCCTCTCAAACAGAGTCCAGCCTAGTTATGGTGGCTTCCAACAGCCATCTGTTTACCAGAGGCGGTTTGCGTATGGAAACTATATGAATGCTGCCCTGCAACAGCCCATGTCTTGCCTGGCGACTCAGGACCTATCACTGATCTGCGCGAATGCCTCCCCAGTTTTTGTGCAGGCACCCCAAGAGAAAGGGTTTGCCAGCTTTGCGATTGACTTCCTCATGGGAGGAGTCTCGGCTGCCGTTTCGAAAACGGCAGCTGCCCCTATTGAGCGTGTGAAGCTTTTGATCCAGAACCAGGATGAGATGATCAAGGCTGGCAGGCTTTCTGAACCGTACAAGGGAATTGGTGACTGTTTCAAGAGAACGGTTCAGGAAGAAGGATTTGGATCATTGTGGAGAGGCAACACTGCTAATGTCATCCGCTATTTCCCCACTCAGGTTTGCCTAGTCTCCTGGTTTATTATAAATCCATAATTTTATTATATATAGATTTAACATTTAACTATCCGAAATAAGATATTCTAGGTTTCCATTGTTTTCCTAAGAAATGGCCTGTTTTGGAAGAAGATTGACATTCCAGATTAGTTAATTGCAGAGATAAAAGCTATTGTTACACGAAACAATATAAGCTTTTATTTGAAACACGTAGTAAAATTGGAAGTTAGATAGTTAAATGCATTTTTTTAAAGGCTGAGTTAGAATTGTTAGAAAAGTTGAATGAGTTTGGGTAATTTCTGGTTTTTAAATGAGCAGAGTGATTTAATTTCCATTTTTGTTTGCTTTTCTGAACAAGTGTTGTGTGTACCACAGGCTCTGAACTTTGCATTCAAGGATTACTTTAAGAGGCTCTTCAACTTCAAGAAAGATCGAGACGGCTACTGGAAATGGTTCGCTGGAAACCTCGCGTCTGGTGGTGCTGCTGGTGCCTCGTCACTGCTCTTCGTCTACTCTTTGGATTATGCCCGAACTCGTCTGGCCAATGATGCCAAGGCTGCCAAGAAGGGAGGTGAGAGACAGTTCAATGGTCTGGTTGATGTCTACAGAAAGACCCTAAAATCTGATGGTATTGCTGGCCTGTACCGTGGGTTCAACATCTCGTGTGTCGGTATCATCGTGTATCGAGGCTTGTACTTTGGAATGTACGACTCCTTGAAGCCGGTACTCTTGACTGGATCGTTGCAGGTCAGTTTTTGCGTCCCCATGCTTATTGTCTATTTGATGGTTTTATGAAATTATATGTTTCCTAAGATACGAATTTGAATTCAGGTGGTTCATTAGCTTGAAAGATCTCTATTGAAATATTAGTTGGTATATGTGCCCAAGAATTAAGGGTCTGAAGATGCAGTGGTGTGCACTGTTGATTGGTTTATCGGCTTATAATCACAATTCTTTTTAATGTCTTTGTGAGAGAATAATTGCAAGTGTCCTTAAGGTTTCAGCTGATTA